GAGAGAGAGAGAGAGAGAGAGAGAGAGAGAGAGAGAGAGAGAACAATATACAAACAAACAACCTTAAAATGTTGTCAAGATAGATCTAGAGCACACAAACCTGTAATCACAGCACCTAGGGGGTGGGAGGCAGGAGAATCAGTAGCTCAAGATCACCCTCAGCTTCTTACCAAGTTTAAGGACACTCTAAGCTACATGTGACCTGGTCTCAAAATATATAAAAAATAATAGAATAAAAAAATGAAAGCCAAGTAACAGAGTCCAGGGAAATTGAATTCCTGATATAGAGAAGGGTGTCATACAAGCTTACCCCATCTTCCTTCATTGGTCACCCCTACCTGACTGTACTATGATGGCAGAGCCAGGAAGCTGTGCTGAGGCAACATGCATGTTCCATCTGCCTTCCCGCCTAAGACCCTGTGAGTACAGCAGTACAGATCCAGTTGACAGGATGGTCCCTGGGGTTTGAACTGAATCCCCATCCCATCTGCTCTGACCAGTTGCTCTGGTTGCTGACACACATTCTATGCATGGAGGTGGCAGTCCATCTAATCTGGTGATTCCCTTACTGAAGGGCATTTCGATTCTCCCCGGTTAGAGATGATGGCAGAAATGAGCATTTGTGTGAAGTCTCCTCATGGATCTACAACTTCAGTTCTTGCCTTGAGTGAGATGGGTGGGTTGGGGAGGGGGTGGTTAAGAGTGTTCTGTTTTGTGAGATGCTGCCATCATTTCCCTTGGTGACTGCAGCATTTTGCACTCCCTCAAGGGTGAAGGTTACTCCCTTCCTTGCCAGAATTGATGATGTGGGTGTTCAGGGATTTGTCCATTTTAACTCAAGCATTTCCTATTGTTTCATTTTGGTGTGTATGTGTGCGCGTGTGTGCTTGTGCTTGTGCTTGTGTGCTTGTGCTTGTGCTTGTGTGCGTGTGCGTGTGCGTGTGTGTGTGTGTGTGTGTGTTTGTGTGAAAGAGAGAGACAGAGAGAGACAGAGAAAGGCAGACAAACATAGACAGATAGACAGAGAGAGAGAGAGAGAGAGAGAGAGAGAGAGAGAGAGAGAGAGAGAGAGAGAGAGAGAGAAACTGTTCATGTACCATGCTTTACAGGTAGAAGTCAGGGGACAACCTTTGGAAACTGGTTCTTTTGCTCTACAATGTGGATTCCTGGGATCAAACCTCAGGCTTGGTGGCAAGCACCTCTGCCCACTGAGCTTTCTTGCCAGCCTGTGTGTTAATTTTCAGTCCCCTGATGACATTTGGTATGAAGCATCGTTTTGTGTTGATTTTTACCCGTGTCTCTACAATTTGAGCCCATTTTCCAACTGGGTTGTTTGTTATCCTATTGTTGAGTGATAAGGGCTTTTTGATTTTTGTATTCTGGTTCTTTATCAGAGATGTGCTTTGCAAATGTTTTCCTCTAGTTGGTAGGTTGCCTTTTCATCCTCTTCACAACATCTTTTTTTCTTCCTTTGAGACTGGCTGTTATTGTCTCAGGCTGGATTTGAACTAGTTTTGTAGCCAAGGATGACCTTGAATTTCTGATCTTCCTGTTTCTACTTCCCTAGTGTTCAGGTTGCAGGTGTGTGCCACCACACACTGCCAATGCAATGCTGAGGACTGGTCCCAGGGCTTTGCGAATGCTGGGCAAGCACTGTATCAGCTGAGTGACATCACCTGCTCACAGCATCCTTTACAGAGCAGAAGTTTTTCATTCCAATGGCGTCATCACACCAGTTGTCTTTCATGGCTTGTGTTTTTGAGGTGCCATTGCCACAGTCACCTGGACTTCCTTCCAGGCATTGTCTAGGTGTTGTGTGGTTTTTCACTTCATACTTAAGCTTAAAACCTGCCATTTATTTATTTATTTATTCATTCATTCATTCATTCATTCA